TCGTAAGAGTCCTTTATCGGATATATGTTTTGCCAATATTTTGCAAATATTTTCTTCCACTTCATAGATTATCTTTTCATCCTTTTAACAAATGTTTCACACCCAGAGCAAAAGTTTTCAATTTTTCTGAAGAAAAATGTATCCATTTTTAAGTTTTATGGGTCATGCTTATGGTATCATATTTATAAATTCTTCACATAATCTTACATCCCAACAATTTTGTATGTTTTTCTAAAAGTTTCACACTTAAAGCTATGATACATTTTGAATTATTTTTGTTTAAGATATGAGCTTTAGATCAAGGTTCTTTAGGGGATGGTTATGGATCCATTATTTTAACAAGCACCATTTGTTCAAAAAAAACTCTTTCCTTCATTGATTCACTTTTGTGCCTCTGCCTAAAATCAACTGGGCATATTTGTGTTGAGTCTATTTCTAGGTTCTTTATTCTATTCCATTGATCCATATGTTTATCCTCCTGTCAATATCATAGTCTTGATTATTATAGCCATAAAGGAAGCCTTAAAATAGGATAGAATGATTACTCCCATTTCATTCCTTCTTTCAAAATTGCTTTAGCTCTTCTAGTTTCTGTACCTTTATATATAAATTTTACAATAAGTTTGCCTATGTCTACAAAAAAATCTTGCTGAGATTTTGATAGGAATTGCATTAAACCTATAGATCAATTTGGACAGAACTGACATCTTTACAATTCATGGATTCCTCCAATCTATGAATATAATATGTCTATTTATTTAGATCTTTCATCAGAATGCTGTAATTTCAGCATAAAATTAGATTTATACCTAAGTATTTCACTTTGGGAATTAGTGACTATAAATAGTGTTGTGCTTTCAACTTTGATAACCATATGTTTATAGCAAAGTTATGGAAATGTGATTGATGGGGGTGGGTATCATATCCTGTTACCAGGGTGATCTCACCTGCTAATTCTAGAAAGATTATTTTGTGTGGACTCTTCAGGATTTTCTACATAGATAATCATGTCATCTGTAAATAAGGGCATTTAAATTATTTTCTTAGACTACAACACCACCTAGGACTTCCAGTACCAAGGTGAAAAAGAGTGGTGAGACTGAAATCCCTGCTTGTCCCCAAGCTTAGGGAGAAACCATTCGTTGTCTTTCATGCTAAGTAGCATGTTTGCGGCAAGCATGCGGTTTTCACTCTTGGCTAAATATCAGAGAAAAAGCTCCCTGAATACAAAAATTAACATAATATAGGTCTTAGACTAAGAAGAAACTATATGCTTTTTGCCTACCTAGGATCTACCCTTACCCATATAACAATGCTTTTTCTGTCAGAGAAAGCCAATCTTCCCAATGCAGAGGACAAGTGTGTAAGATCTAATCATTGCATCTATCCCCATCCTCTGGACTAAGTATTTAGTTCGATAAAATTCAAATATGGAGCTTCTTTGGAATTATTGTGCAAAAGCTCTCTTTTCACAACACTTAAATCAGGAATCAACAATGGCCTACGACCCAAAACCATCCTGCCATGTGTTTTTATAAATAAAGTTTTATTGAAACAGCCACACCCATTTATTTATATATTGCACATGGCTGCTTCTGAGCCACATTAACAAAGCTGAACAGCTACAGCAGTTACTACATGGCCCACAAAGCCTAGAAAACCATCTACCCAGTTTCAGAAAGTTTGTTGGCCCCAGATATTAATAGTAAGATGTAAGCCTGAATAGTTAGGAAGCATCTCAACACTTCCTGGAAGGAACATATTGGAAAGTGAAGCCAGTACAAAAGAAGAAACCAACTCCAAATATTATGTAAGTTACTCAGTTTGGACTGGCCAGAAACTATTATACCCTAACATTTTTCAGTTACATAACCTGATTAACCTAGCTTTTTTTCAAGAAAGTTTGAACTGGATTTTCCTCATTTCAACAAAAATAATTGAGATTTGCTACACAGATAAAATCCACAATGCTCAATGTAATACCATGCCTCTAATTTCTCCCTCTAATATGTCTATCAATACTAAATAAGGCATTCAATATTTCATTAGACTAGAATGTGACTGTGTTCCAAAAAAACTGATTTATGTAACAGTTAATTAAAAGGTTAAAAAAATCAACTGATTTGGAGTTCATTTAGGGTTTTGTCTCCCCTAACTAACTATCCTAAGGTGCTACTGAACAAGAAAAAAACAAAAAGAGTAGAAACCAAACCTGATCTTTAACAGTCAATAACCTGTCACAGGACAACTGAGATAAAAGTATAAAAACAGAAGGGAGGTGCCCCATTAATATCCCTAATACAAGGAAACTGCTCTAAGACTAGCAAGAGAAAGAACTAACTAATGAAAGCCAAAACTCCCAAGGGAACAGACTTAACTAATTAGGGAGATAGTGATTAACACTGGAGCTGCTAATTGTTGACTGGGCGTATATCTCCAGCAATGTTCCCTAGAGGCTATCAGCAATGGGAGAGAAAAATTACACCTAGTGTTTCTGTCAATTATGCAGCCATCATTTGCCTGTGTTTATCTGCCTCTTTAGGAAACTAAAAAGCTCTTGGTAGTATGGTTTTCAATGCAAGGTACATGTTCCTGTGAGGAAATAATTTTATAACATGGCTAGACATAGAATTGTTTTGTGTTCAAATTTGTTTTTATATGTACATTCTGGAGTGAGGAGATTTTTTTCAACAGTGCACTTTCCATCCACAGAAGCCAGATGTTAATCTACGGGAAAACTGAGTGGTTAGTAAGAGCCCAATTAGACACAGACAGAGAACAAATATCAAGTGGTAGCAAGGGGTGGAAGAGGAAGCTTAAAATGGGGTTAATGAAGCAGTTTTAGAACTCCAGCAGATTAGGGGGAAATGGTAGAGGGACTTTTTAACCCGTATCAAGAATAGCATGTTATGACAAGGTTTTTCATCCTGGGTATTTCTTCCCTTATGTGTTTGAAAGGTTAGTCTAGAAAGTCAGAGGAAGTATGTAAAAATAATGGAGCAAGAATTCTTATATAGCAAGTTGACAGTGTATCTCTACTAAAGGTGAATAACAAATACATCTAGGGACAAACACGAGTTCAAATTCTACCTGTACCACAGTGGAGGACATCTACTCTTCCTGTAGTTGCGCTGGATAGTGGTGGGGTCACACTGCCTACAGGCACTCTAGATTTCCCATTCTCCACTGCACATAGACATGGCCAAATCATTGTCTGGGCCAATGGAAGTGACGTGTGCACTTCTGAGTCCTTCCAAACGTTTGCCCTGGATGCTTTCAAGCCCACCTTCAGGTGGAAAATGGCAATAACTACAGCAACCTGGTAAGTCATGGGTTGAGGATGCCAGCACGACCCTGCCGGGCATGGGTCATTCTGCCCATTTCTGGGCTCTGAGAGATGAATATGCATCTGTCTTCCCTAAATTACTATACTGTGGAGTTTCTTTATTATATAGCAACCTAGCTTGTACCCTACTATTCAGCCACTTAGTATATGTGCAACTTGGGACAAAAGGTTTAACTTCTCTAAACCTCAGTTACCTCATCTATAAAGTGAAATCATAGCACTTATAAAGTGCTAAAAGAAATGAAATTAAGAGATGTAATATGCCCACTCCTGCCCCTAACACACACAAATGCACACTAAAGTGCTTAAACTAATGGTAGACGACGCTAGCAAAGATGAAGACTTTCCAGAAGCTGCTTTTGAAGGCCTCTGGTACCAAACAACAGTTGTGCCCCCAAAATCCTAAAAGCAGAAATGTGCACCTGCTTTTGAGAACATCTCTACAGGTAGCAACATATTTAAAGAAAATTGAGGATGTCTTACATTTTAGTCCAGGAAGAGAATTAAGATTAAACAATATTTCATTATAGTTTAGCCAGCTGTACTTGTCTTTAGATAGTTCTTTAAAACCTGCTCTATATTAAATATTGTGCTAACAGTACTTATTTGTCTATACTTAGTTGATTGAATCAAGTCCTTCATTTCTGTGGAAGATAGCTGAGGAGAAAAGTACATTAATCTGTGTTGATAGATTACTTCACCAGGGTGGGCTGAGGAAGAGACACATACACAAATCCATATCATCTACACTGGATGTACAGAGTCCTACAGTTAGTGGAAGCCAGGACCTGCTTTTCCCTTGTAAACATCCCCAATTTGATAGTGCTTTTGTCAGCAACAGTTATTGGCCTCCCAGCCCTGTAGAGTCTTTCTATCTTTTATTGGTGAGACATGGCTAGATTGTAAAGTACTTTTAGAATTTTTGTAACCTTGAGATTCGTTGAGTACTGGGGTTGAGATCCTTAGCACCAAGATAAGAAGACTGTTCTGGGACTTTCCCCTGGGCTTTCACGTGGGTTTTTACATGCCACAAGATGCAAAAAAACCACAAGATTACATCATCCAGCTGAGGCCAGCAACTCTGAAATGGGAACACAGATCTTATCACCAGGCTTAACTCCTTCCACTGACCTTAACAATGTCCTGCTGCTTATAATGAACTATAAGTCACTATGGAAAGAGGAGACCGAATGAGAAGGCGATGATGAGAGATGCTGCACAATCTGTATAAGCTTTTGCAATTCTTTATCCCATTAAAATGGGCTTGAAATAATGATCTGTACCCTACTTCATGAAGGCATCATATGGTCAGTAAACAAAACTCAGTAAGCCAGATTGGATTCTACCTCCTTTTAAAAACCTAGGGGCATTACACCTGCCTTTTCAAAAGGCAATCTTAGTATAACATCATGCAGAACTTCTGCCTTAGGATTGAGAGGTACAAGTTCCAGAACTATATATACACAATAGTAGTAGTAATAGTATTAGGAGCAATAGTTATTACCACAAACATCACTTTAGGAATAAAAAAATACCACTGGTACTGGTCTCAAAGACTAAGGCTTCAGAGCAGCAGCAAAAATTATTGCACTAGGGAACCAACAAATAGTTCAGGATCTTTATTCTTGCTCTACTTCCCTGAATTGTTACTTACAGGTTCCCGGCCATCCATGGCTTCCATCCAGAGCCTCCGGTCCTCTTCTGACAATGCCTGCATAGTGATAACCCCTGGCCTGTGGAGAAAGGAAGGACATGGATATGAACCCAGTGCCACAGGGATAGAGATTGACAAAGGTAAACCATAAAGAAATACCCAATCAACGCTGTGAGAGGTCGCTGAAGTCAACAACACGAAGAAACACACATCACTTGGCTTTTCTAGCCAGCTTCCTGTTTCAGAAAGCAAAGCTACCTTCCCAAACCCCACTCCCTAAGCGAACCTCCCTTAGAGAGGCAAGAAACAAGAGACAGAGGTAAGGAACACACATGAGTAATGTGATTCCTTTCGATGTTGTTCATTCCTTGAAATCTCATTCATCTCTATTCTCCAAAATACTTAACACAGTGTTTACTCACAGGAGGAACGCAATAAACACCTATTATGAACTGAGTTACTGCACTCAGGAAAAAAAAAAAAAAAAAAAAAAGAGGGAGAAACAGCCAAGCTAGAAGCCTTTCAGTTTCCTAATATCTAGTTCATTGCTTCTAAACTGCTTTTAACAGGGAGATGTTTTATGGAGTTAATCAGCTTTGTAATTATGGTTATATTGAGTATATGTAGTTGTGTGGGTTTTTTTTAATGAATATTTACCATATCAGGGGGTAAGCGCGTTATGGAAACTTGGTCTTTTCACGCTGACTAAAATCTACTTGCTCTTTACAACTAAACATAAACCCTCCAGAAAGCAAACATAATATCAAGTGGTATTTGTGGAGTGCCCATTATGAATAGTAGTCCACAAGAAAAAAAGACTGTGCCATAAAAATGACCTCAGGAGAAGGTCATATGCTAATCAAAACAGGCATTCTTTATTTAAGGTCCACAGATGGATCCCAGATTGTTCATTAACCACTTCCCTTTCAAATACATGTGTGGTTTTCTGGTAAAATAATTCAAACTGTCCAGATTCTCAGAGAGGACTGCTATCCTTAAAAAGTGAAGAATTACTGATTTTAACTGTCATATTTAAAGTCTGAAAAACTTGAAAAGGTAGGAGGAGATCTACTGAGTGAGAACTAAAATCTGATTGCCATCAAATCCATGAATCCTGCTGAGGATTCTGAACCAGACTAGAACCACACAAACCTGTTTATTCTCACCTACCTACAATCCCTACACTTGGCTGATTTCCACAGTTCTAAGATAGGCCTGTTTATGTTTAACCTATTTTAAATACCACATCTACATCTTTTCCTTGGTCATCTCTCAACATCACCTAAGGAAAAACATTTTTAAAGATGTGAGCATGTAAGTACAGAGGGTTGGGGATATAGGGACCGCCAGGGTGGGGGTTCAGATGCAAGAGTGTAGGAGGGGATGTGCGTGAGAGAGCAGGTAGTGTGTGAGGGTGGGAGAGACCCTGTGATGGGCACTTGGCACTGACATCACAACACAAAGAAAACTCCAAATATGGAATAACTCCTCTCTCCACAAGCATCTGCAAGGCCTCTGTCTCCTCTTTTAGATATTCTTATTCTCAGACTCAAATGCCCATTTCCTACCATCAGTCTATGGAGTGTGCTAGATTCCCTGTGTGTCTCCAGACTGTGCCGACAGCCATGGCTCCACAAACTACCCTTGACATGGGGACATGGTGGATTGATTCTCCTCTTCCACCTTTCAAAAAGCCAAGCATGTAACTTTGAAACTGATGGCTTTGCAACTACAGGCTACTGCAAAACTCTCCAGTCTCTGAACCTGGATTTTTGTTATTCAAGGTCTTTTTACCTCTGTACCTGCTTCCAAATTAGCTAGTCCAGTAAATTGGAGATCCCCAACTCTACCTTTCTGAATCTGAACTTCTTGGCTGGATCTCTACCAGCTCCCCAGATGATTCCTACACACAGTTATGTCTGAGACCCATGTCCTGGCTTCTTGCCCTATCCCCCTCTTTTCTTTTCTGGTGCCCTTGCTCTGGCAGAAAGTTAGCCCTCCCTCTACACTGGGGTCATGGAGCCAACATGTCTTCAGTTCATTTCCTGCTAGGAAACAGTTTGAGCACAAGAGTCGCCTAAATACCAAGATCTCTGGGCCCTCACAGATGTCACATCAACTTCATGGCACACTGTGAAATTTTCACTCAGAGCCACAAAGAGGAAGTTCAGACAAACTCAGAGGGTGTGAAGGGTGGGTCCCTCGGCCTCAGTAACTGGGAAGGTCAACAGGATCTGTTTTTATTTCAAGAAAATTTATCAAAATACAAGGTTTTTCCAGATGTGGCCTTGTTCTCTTTTGAGGGTAGAGTGTGGGGGTGGGGTGGAAGATGGTGGATAAAGTGGATCTGACATGTTCAGTTTTAGTTCTATGCCAGGTCACATAATCTTTTCCTGGACCTCATGGACATACATGTGGATGCAGTACCATTCTTTTCTAGGCATCTAGAAAACACCCATTTGTTTCTTTTCCTTTCTTATAATTGAAATCACAATTATACAAATCTTTTCTGTGTGAATTTCCTATAACCAAGGTGAAAGGGTCAATATTCTTTATTTTGGAATTAAGCAATAACCTTTTTTTTTGGTATTTCACTTCCCTATTCCCCTACTAACCACCATCCTTCAAAACAAAATAAATCAGCAAAACTTTCAATGACCCTATACTCTCCATACAGGTCTCTATAAGACAGCATACTTTCATACTTTCTCCTATTGTTGGTTTACTTTACACTTGAAGTATACATGTTTTTTGACAGCAAAAACCATGGGGAGGGGATAGATATAGAATGAGGTAGGAAAATATAAAACAATGCAAGAGAAATGGAGTAAATGACCAGGGCTCTTTCTGGCTCTACAAAGAATCATTACCTTATTAGACACTATAATAACAGAACAATGGCAATAGCCCAGAACTGTGTATGGGTAGCTGTGTTTAGCAAGTTACAGAACCAGGACATGAGCACAAGAAATCCATCTCTTAACCCTTGTGCAAAATGGCATGGCTAATGTGAAGGTCCCATTGACCCCAGGAGCTCATGTTGACCACCCAAGTCCTCTAGTGTCAAAACTAACCAACCACTCCTGCAATAACTTAATGGGCCCCTGCACAGGATCAAGTGAGATGGAAGGACAAAGAGCTCTGTAACCCTAAAGTTCTTCATAAATACGAAAGCTCAGAATACCACTCTGAGTGACAATCCAAAAAAGCAGGAATTCATATCACAAACGTATACCAATTAAAAAAAAAGAATCCATCAGCACCCAGTGTGACTGGGGCTTATATCTTCTACAGAACTGGTTCTCCACTTTTTTTCTATCTCAAAATGTTCAAGAGATGGAAAGGCATTGGGTTTTTTTTTCCCCTGAGAACATAAAAAGCACTAATCATAAAGAAAAAAATATTGACAATTTGAACTTCATCAAAATGAGAATTTGTATTCATCAAAGGATAATATTAAACTGGGTGTAGTGGCCCACACTGTAATCCCAGCACTCTGGGAGGCTGAGCTAGGAGTACTGCAAGTTTAAGCCCAGCCTTGACAACTCAGCAACTAAGATCCTGTCTCAAAATAAAAATAAAAATAGGCTAGGGATGCAGTTTAGTGTAAAGGCCCTAGGTTTAATCTCCTTTATGCCTCCCCCCACCAATATTAAAATAATGAAAAGGAAAACAGGAATAAGAGAAGGTAATTATAATAAATATCTCCAACAAAACTCACATCCAAAATATGTGAGGAATGCCTACAAATAAATAGGAAAAAAATGAACAATCCAACTCAGTGGAAGACTTACTCGGAAGCTCATAAAAGAGGACATTCAAACAGCTACCAAGCATAAGAAACAGGAAACCAAAATGTTATTCATTAGGGAAATGTAATTAAAACCACAATGAGATACAACAAATACTCTCCTAAGTATGTGAATGAACAAATACTCTCCTGAGTTTAATAAGACCACCAATACCAAGTAGCAGCAAGAATGTAGAGAAAATGGGACCTATAGATTGCTGGTGGGAGAAGAAACTGATAAAAACCACTTTGGCAATATCTACTAGAATTAAACATGTGACCTAGCAATTAATTCTACCTCTCATATGTCCCTAAGCTTATGTCCACCAAATGGCACACTCTAGAACATTTGCAGTTTTATTCATAATTGCCCCAAACTGCCTCAACAACAAAAATACCTACCAATAAGAGAATAAAGCACTGAACATTTAAACAACGGAACACCATTCAAAAACCAAAAAAAAACCAACTACTTCTATATGCAACCTCAATATGAATGAATCTCACAGACATAATGTGGAAAAGAAGTCAGACACAAAAGACTACACACAGTATGGTTCCAGTTATATGATGTTCAGACACTTGTAAAACACCTCCATGGTGGCAGAAGTCTGAAGAATGACTGTGCTGGGGGAAGGATAAGGGTGATGTCTGGGGAAAGAGCATAAAGGAAACTTTGGGGGTACAGATGTTCTATATCTTGATCTGGGTGGTTACACAGGCACACATGAGTGCGCAAGTGTGTGTAAAGTCATTAAAATATAGACAAGATTCTACTGTGCATTCCACTGTGACTACATCTCAGTTAAAAAAACTGTTTTAAATACTCAAGAGATGGGACTTCTTGCCAGTAACTTAGCCTTACTATTTATCCTAACTCTAGTACTTTCCAGCTGCGTGGTCCTGGTGGACAAGCAACTGAGCTCCTCGATGTTACTCTTACAACCTGCATTTTTAAGAAGAGCAGCATAAAGCAGTTCAATTACTTGTGGGCCAGGATATCAGGGTTAAAACTCAGGGTATGATATAAAAATTAGATGAGAAGTGTATCCAACTTTTCAAAGTCTCAGGCACAGAGCAAAAACTCTAAAAACCTGCCATTATCACAGGGGCAAATGGGGGATGGAAAAGATAGGAAGTACTGAGCAGGGTCAAAACTATGGCTGCAAATTATTTTAAAAATAAAAGAAACAACCCACATGCCCTGCTAACATACAGGACCTTACCAGCAAGACACTCACACACAGCACCGAAAATCACACCTCCACCACAAAACACCCAGCTGAGGA